CTTTCAAGCTCTGCTTGGTGTGAAAATAAACCATCTCTGATCCTTCACCCTATTTTTTTTTTAACCTTCTGTCCTGCAGTTGTTACCTTTGTCTGTTGTTAGCCTGTGCAGATACAATTGGGTCACTCCAAAGAAACTCACCTTTCCTTCCCAGTACCAACTATAGATTTGCTGCAACAGATGTACTTTGTCAGGAACTTGCAACCTTGATATATCCCCAAATTATATTGATCTGGATTTTTTTTTTTTTTAAGCCTAGGGTCCAAGTGTTGCTCCAGAGCTACAAAAAGCTTTTTATCTCCTTCTAACTTGTTCTTAATAGATTTAGTCAAAGATTATACCTAGGAGTGTTTTTAAATCTGAAGGTTGCGAAAAGTCTAGGTTAATTTTTTAACCTCATATATATAAAAAACCCACTGCAGAATAACACAAAATGAAGAAATATATATATTATTTGTTTCATCAATTTTTATTATTGTGCAATCCATAGCTAACAGCTTGCAAGAGATTACATCTTTGTTTTTTCTCCAAGATTCAGAATATATCTATGAACTCCCTGAATAATAAAACTATCCTGCAAGCTTACATTTCTTCATATAGTAACCAATGTTCTTTCTTGATTTATACAAAACAGATCTATATACAATGCTGCTTTAAAGTAAAAATAGTCTTAAACACAATGTTTTCTGGGAAAACAGTAAAAAAAAAAAAAAAAGAATAGCTTTCTTCAACCGCCAACCTTCCAAATACAAAATCCTTCAACAAATGCAGTAAACAAGACAAATGATGTTCCAAATACATTTCTCTCTTACAAACAAATGCCCAAACTGCTGGGAAAAGTACTTTATGACTATCTGGTGATGTTCATCTGTCCAGGACCCCTGCTTAAATGTATGGAAAGACTTCTAAAGCCTAAAGTTTCAGTCTCTTCTATACTTTTCTGCTTGGTGATATCACATACTGTGTTTTATTCTGTTTGAATCGATTTGACAGCCACTTGTTTAAAGTAACTTTTAATGTTTAAAAGACAAGAAACCTTAAAATATAAATACCCAATAGGAGAGTTTTGGAGTGGACGTCCAGATCTGATTACCAAAAATAGGATTTTAACAACCTGCTGTAACAGAAATGCCATGCAACAGAAGATGAGATTTGAATTTCATTGTCTCAAAAATTCTTGTCTCAAAATGAAATTTGACCTCCATGCATAAATAGGTAGTGATAGATCCTGCAATATGGCTGTTTGTATTTCTAAAAATCCTTTTTGTGCACAGTACTCATCTATTCTGTTTATAGGGAGAGTTTGTCACAGTTTGAGTTTATGAAATACAAAAACTCTTTCCCATGTCCCTCTGATGTGATTAGGAGGCAGCTTTATAAATCACTAAATGGAATATAGTTCAAAAGAGAGAGACTGCTTTCACCAGCATTTTACCTTTCAAAACTTGAAGTCTAATATTGAGGGGGGCTTCTAGTCAATTTGTAAGTATATCAAATTCTCAACATCTGGCATCCGAATCCCTTTTCTTTTGTGGGAAATTATTTTCTTGTAGTGCAACCGTTTGCAGAAGAGAGAAAAATAAGATTTTAAGTACAAATTAGATAAAGGATAAAATAAGGATCACAGTATATAAAATCAACATTATTAACAATTTATAATGCCTAGTACCAAATTACTGTTATTGCACATGATTATGTTATTGCACATAGTGAAGTAATGAAATAAATAAATAAGTAATGAAATTAAATGACTGTCAGAGAGATGAATTATACAGTTTGATGGCAACAGGCAGGAATGACTTCCAGAATTCAGTTGTAAAGACTTTACTTCCCAGCTTATATTATATCCTCTTTATTTTTTTGCTTATATCCTTGCTTTTTAAAAATTTTTTTTATCACAATTTATAATTTGAAGCTTAATGGTTGATTTGGTGATGCCTAAGTTTTCTTTTTATAGGCAATTGAAACAAACACAGGCTTTAATCTCTTATCCACTTAGTGGTGATTCCATAGAGTTTCTTAGTTTACTTATTCATTTGCTCATGGTTAATTTATATGTTAAGTGGGGCATTTCAACACTCCCAGCTTGCCCAAATCAAAAATATCAAAGCTATGAGATATAGTGGTGCAAAATGTGAAAGCGCTGTAAACTAATCCTATTCTGTTAGGAAGCATATGACGCTTGTGTTAACGTATGAGTGAGCAAGAGGATGCCACACAACCTACCATGTCTTAATGTGATTTGTTCTGTAACCTGGTGTGCCTCAGGTTGCTTGCTTTTTAAACCGCACATCTGCTCACAGTTTGCTGTACAAACTACAAAGGTTGGTGGGTGGGTCCGCGGACATGTGAGCTGGTGATGAAGCACAAAGGAACGAGTCACTTTTGACACTTCAAAGAATTTCAAATACATGCACTGCATGAGAAAGGAGCGTGCAGGAGAGCGGATGTTTCCCAAAATCCCTTTTACTCTAAGGCAACACCCAGGTGATGATGAGAATGGTTGCAGAAGAAAAAAGGAGCAATTGTGTTCATTTGCAAGATGATATTAATTTTTTTTATTATTATTATCATTTGGATCTTTTATTTTAACTGTGTTCTCTTATATCCCAATTTGGGACTCTAGTGCGTTTTTGTCTTTTTTCAGTTTGTGCTATTGGCTGCACAGCAGGAAAGAGGGAGAGCTCATTATTTACACCTGGAACCTGAACCTGCATGCTTGGAATATTTATTTCTGTGGCAAAATGTAAATAACATTTTACACTTTTTTTTAATCCCCTTGGACGCCAAAATAAATAAATAAAATCTGAAAAAGAAAATGTTCACACAAATATAAAAAAAACGTACCTACAGCACTCTAAGACAAGTGAATAAAAGGATCTCCTGACGTCATGATCTCTGACTACGAATCCCAGAATGCATTAATGTTCCTCGCAAATATGCAAATGAAGTAACTTTCAAGTCCCGCTCGGAAATTTCGTAACTCAAATCACAGCGCGATACCTCGGTCTGTCATCTGTCAATTGAAATTGTGGCACATTCGTTCTCCTTTTTTTACTTAAAATGTTTCTGCTGACAAACTTCCTTATGGGTGAGACATCCAAATCTGTCTCTTAAATTATCTATATTTCATAAAAAACTCCAGGTTGGACCCATAATGAGGTTTTCACACTTGCCAAATTTTAAATGTCATTATACTAAAAAGGAGAAAACAAACTCTAATAAATATCCAACTCTAATAATCACACATCCTTATAGAATAATATATTTTTCCTGAAATTTTGACCAAGAAATCATCAAATGAAATCCAAATTCCTTAAATAATGAAACACCTCTTTTTATGTGGGCATCCTTGCTGCTTCTCTAATTAACTCCTTGCGGGTTGGCAGCTGTTAAGCTTTAAAATGAAAGTTAACTTAAACTTTACCCTGTCTCTGGATCTTTTGTTGTCTTCATGATGATGTACGTGTGTCAACCAAAGTTGTCTAGGAAACCAAATAGCTAGTTTCACAGAATAACTGGGCACAAGAACATTACCCACGAGAAATGTATTCGTAAAAAATATTTTAGTAGGGCTTTGTAAACCAGTGAAACCCACGGAAGAGAATTAGGGCCACTGAATTATTATTATTTTTTTTTTAAAGTTAACTGATTTTTAAATTTTATTTCTGAGAAAAAAGTCAGACCTTTTTTCTCAGAATTCTGACTTTAAACTCAGAATTCTGACTTTAATCTGAGAATTGTGACTTTTTTCTCAGAATTCTGAGATCAAATTCAGAATTCTGGGGGGAAAAGTCATAATTCTGAGATTAAAGTCATAATTCTGAGAAAAAAAAGTCGGAATTCGGAGATTAAAGTCAGAATCCTGAGATCAAAGTCAGAATTTCGACTTTTTCCCCATATTAAACTGTAATAAAATTTTAAAATCAGTTAACTTTCTTTTATTTTTTCAGTGACCCTAATCCTCTTCCGTAGAAACCGATCTGATTTCTAATAGTGTTATTTCCTACGGACATTGAAGGCAGCACGACTCCGTACCACTACTGGCAGCAGCGGCAGCAACAGCAGTGTATGTGTTGGTGGAGGCGACGCTTTCTCCTTTCTGTAACCTAAACAATGACTCCTACTACAGACCGGAGGAGAGCCCACTGATAGAATGCTTCATAAAGACCCAAAACGCAACAATTCGCTGCTATTCCGTCCGCTCGCTTAAATGCCCCGAGCGTAAACATGTGGATACCTACAGAACATGAGAAATACGGCGTCGGTGAGTTTATTATTGTTTTTTTAATAATGTAAAAATATTATCATTGCATAGAAAAACATAGCTCTTCCTCTTCTTTGTGCGCCCGTTTGGAGAATGTGTTTGTAAATAAATATCTGGACGTTTCAGTGGATCTATGACAGACGGATTGTTTTTATATTTCTATTAATCCTGGACAGTTTCAGCTTTAAATCGCGAAACACTTGACCGTATATGTTATATATGATTAAGATCGCAATAAATCGTTATTTTATCATTTGATTTGTATGGATTTATGTTTCTTAATATTTTTGCTTTGACAGTAAAGAGAGAACCTTTTTAAAATAGCTCTGTATAACGGAGTATTTCTATTAATGATTCGAGTGAAAATCTGGTTGTGAGGAAAAGTGATTATCCCTGCGTGATCTCGGGGTGATCTAGAAGTGGACGCGTGGAGATCTTGTTGTGTGTTGTGTCTTCCACATTGCATTGTTCCAGACAGTCTGGGGATGAAACACTCAAACAAGCGATGCCAATTGCTTGTTGTGAGAAACGCGCTTGTAGACTTTGCTCCGATTATGCGCTCGCGAGATTTTATTTGTCTGCAAAACGGGATTCTTATTAAGGGGGTCCTGGCAGCCATGAGGGACCCTGAGTCTGTCAATGAACAATCCCCAGAGATTTGCTGTGGTGGGGTCAGTGCATGCCTCAACAGTCTGGTTCAAAAGAAACTGGATCAATTGGGTGGGAGTCTTTGCCACCTTTTTAAAAACTGATTAAGCTGCACTTTGTCACAAATGGGACCAGAGGCGTAGCTAGAAAATTTTTATAAGGGTGGCCAGGCAATAACCAATGTACACTTAGGGGTGGAAGAAAGTGGATAGTCATGCCTAAGATGAGAATAAATATACTTTTCTACAGCTTTTGCTAACAAGTGTTGAAAAATAGTAAAAAAAATCTTTAAAAACAGTTATATAAACATGACTGTAAATTTCTAATGTTTTTTAAATTATTTTTAATATAATGATAAAATATAATTTATATATATATATATTCCTATTCATAATTTTTAATTTTATCGATAATCATTCTAAGAAAAATTCATATTTACAACTACTAATATCTACATAAATCGATTGTTTAGTACATTTTTATTAAAATATTTATCTATGATTTCACTGAAGACTCCTAGATGACTTGCAGAGACCTTATTTTCTCTTTTTTCCCATAAAGCAATAAATCTAGTTCTGAAAAGAGCATGAATTCTGTACTTTTCATCTTTGATGTTAGTTTATTGATGTCTATAGTTAACCGCAGTGTTTTCGTTGTTAAGAAATTGTGAATACATGAAAAAAATAGTTAGTCGTATATGAAAAATTAGAATATTCCACTTGAGAATATTACTGCTGCCAACATCTGTATTATAGGGGAAAAAATGGTAGGGGTGGCCAATGATTGGCTAAGGGTGACCATGGCCACCCCTGGCCGAATCTAGCTCCGCCCCTGACTGGGACATTTTTACCTAATGGTGATGGTGTGGTTGTATCGTATGGTTTAGGGTGTTAATTGTCCCCTAAAATCTTGCTGTTTACAGTCTTTGTAGTGGGTAAAGAACACTGAATCAGAACCCAGCCCTTGGTTACCGATTATCACACTGTGGTCTGGTCACTTGACTGCTTTGCGAAATGTTTCCCCTAGTGATGGCTTGTTTCCCTTCCCCATCCAATGTCAATTGCTGCTCAGTTATGGCTTATTTCATCCAGTGCTACAACAGTCCCCTGGAGCCCATAACCCTTATATTTGCAGTGGGGAAATCGTGTAAATAGATTTATCTACTTAAACTTACACCAATAGCCAAAGTTCATGCTGCTGAATTAAAGGAGGTCATTTATTTTGAAGGCTAAATAGTCGCCATTGTCCCAAAACTTCTTAAGGGCCCCCATTTAATTGGATTAATTTTTATCCCCTTTTTTTCCCTTTTGCACAATCACAGCAGTAAGACTCTTTTAATTGGCTGTGATTTATTCTTTAAGCTGTCTTGGCACTTCTACTGAGTTTTTTTTTCCCTTTGAGGAAGAAAAAACTGTTTTCCTGTTGTGAAACACACACAAAACACACAAGCACGCACACATGACAAGAAACAGTTTCACGGCACAAAGCAGCGATAGCAACTTTAAGATACAGCATGTGAGCTGAGTGAAATCAGAGGGTCAGTTTGTTTGGTTGATGTCCGGAGGGGATTTGATTCATTCTGTTGGATCAACCGAATCAATATGGACTGAAGAGAAGCTTTTCTGTGCTTATGAAGCATCATGAGGGTGAAGGTTGTAATTCCAAGGGATATCCTTATTTGATGTCACAAACAACAGTATTTATGCCAAGTAGTAACATTTGGAGGTGGAGAGAACAGGTGTGCCAGAGGAGTAATATTGACTTTTTTTTTAGCAAATGAAGCAAAGATAAAACAAAACTTTATTGTTTGAGTTACAACATGAATCATATGTTGGTGTATTATGATATCTGGGAACTTCCATTCAAAATCCAGGAACAGGCATGTTAGGGCAATTGTTCTTAGGTGGACATGTGAGCTGTCCATGGTAAAGCTTGCCTCTGTCCAAATCACAGCTGGATCTGTTATGAACCAAAAAAGTTGAAGAGTTAAAGCCCTAGAATGATTATTGTTGCTCACTATATTGGTAATTTCCAAATTAACTCAATAAAACCTTTTAACTTGCTGCTTAAATTGTCATCTTGGGTCTACCTCTGTTATTTCAAGAACAGTTTCTTCCCATCCGCTACCAGCCTTATTAACAAGGCCCAGAGATCCCCATGACCCTGAAACTGCCTCCCTCCCTCCCCCATTCAGGACCTAGAAGCTACGCCAACGTATTACTCCAGACATCCTGCCTTACATTAATGCACGATCCTCTGTACATAGCACATCGTACATAGCAATACACTATTGTATATAGTATATCGTTTGTTTTATGTTGTATATAAGTATAGATTCTGCATATACACTAATAATTTCTCTGCAGCATCAACACCAAGTCAAATTCCTTGTAAGTGCAAAGCTACTTGCCAATAAATCTGATTCTAATACTGATTCCTAAAGAGCTGGGTGAGAATGCATTGAAGCTGTGGAATGATGGGTTATCTTGCCCTTCTCCAGCATAGGAAATGTGCAAAACAGCCTTACACTGTAGCCTGGATGTGTTAAGGCAAAAAATCCGAGTATCCAGGTTTCAGATCTCTTATATGGGTGAAGGAAGAATCAAACCAGTCATGAACATTGATCCCCATTCCCCACTGGAAATCTCTGGAAAGAACAGTCAGTTCTTTCCCACATGTCCCAGTTTCTACAAAGGATTGCCAACAGGAAAGCAGTTAAGGGGTTTATTCTTATTGGTTACACTGGTGATAATATATTTACTTTGGAATAGTTATTTTTAAAATATATGCACGTAAGCTGTTAACGTTAGCCATTTTAAATTTGATTGTAATCTCAAGGTACTTTCAATGAACATTTTATCAACCTTTTGACAGGAAGACCTTTTATAAAGCTGCCTTCCTTAGATCCGTAAAGGAACATTTGATCTCAGAGGCAAATTGGGATGAGCTCTGAACGCCCCTCTGTCTAATTGGATGGTTGCAGCGTTTGATGTCAATTCGACTTATGAGCAGAATTGTGGCCCCCTGGACGATGGGAGTCACTGCTGTTCATGAAATATGAATGGAGTCTTAACGAGTTGATATCCAGACGCCTGTTAGGTCATCAGTAGAGTAATTATTGGTTAATAAGCTATTACAAGAAGGTTAGATTAAAGAGGGGATGTTTTTGTTTTAACAGAAGAAATGAGACGGTTTGGATTTTAAGTTATGCCTTTCACTGGATTGGGGCTTTCTTAACCAATATACAGGTTAAGGTCAGATTTAATAGGAATAAGGAAAGACATAAGGTTCATATATTGATTTAGGATAATTGGATATGCAATGACAGACATCTCCAAGGATGTCTATGCCTGTCTTTCACATGAGCATAGAGGATATCAGCCTTTGACTTGTCCACTGGCCCCACAAACCACTTGAAGCTGAACTGTTTCACGTTTGCATAGACGTCTGATTGTGTGAGGCCTTTTTCCTCATTAAGGTCCTTTGATTTAGCCAATCAACCATGTCATTGCTCATCAGAATTCAGGCAAGTTATTAAACCATTTCAAGGAGCCAGTCCTGGATGTGTTCTCGACCAAGGGAATTTATTTGCCAGTTAGGATAAAATGCCTTTATGAGCACACCTAATCTTTTCTTGGATTATTGTGGCAAAACAAGCTGGCAGTGTCAAAAAAAGTAAAAAAAAAGGCAGATGGATGTAGCGTTCTGATAGAAGGCTCATGCTGGAGGCCTGGCTGAGATGGAGGGCGAACATGAGGCCCTAGGCTTTCTTGTTCTCCCATGGCTGACATTACTTCTACCCCTCTTGGGAGCATGTCAATAGTTGGTGGGGGGCTGGAGGGGTGGTGGAGGGTTGATGAGTGGTTTAGGGTGCTGGCGCGTGTCAGGGGTGAACTCATTGTCAGGTCGGCTGCCTTGCCCTCAAATTCAGCCCCTTCTGTTATCCCCCTGCTCCGCAGGGGATTAGCAGGTTGTTTTGGAAGGAGGCCCTCAGGCCCATTCCACCATTACGCCCATGATTTCTTAATGCAGCAAGCCCCAGGGCAATGTATGGGGGATGGTGGGGAACAGGGCCGCGGTGAGGTGAAGCCTACCGGCTTGTAATTGCTTCATCTTCTTGTGCAGAGATGGAGCTCCTTCTCTTCTCTGCGTTTGCTCACAAATATACACATGAACTGGCTTCTTGTCTCTGGATATTCATTGTACACATAAGGAGGCTCCCTTGTGAATAAAACTGATTGACAAATTGGAAACTAAGGAGAGAAAATGGCTACATTTAATCTGTTTAAAATTGCCATACAAACAAACCTGCATGGGCATGTGACATCTGACTGAATTGTTGTGTGTTTATT